TCCACTGGTCGATCTCTGTCCTTTCAACCGTTTTTGGCTGTTAGCGAAGGGGGGACCATTGGATTATTTAGGCATTTTAGGCAAGGCGGCAACGCCTTTTTTCGATAACTTTGAGATTTCTTATCTTCTTTTTCATGTTTTCTCTCTCGTTTTTTCGCAAGAACACCATTGTTGAACCAGTTTTCTTTTGAAGCTTTTGTATTCGAATCCTTATCGTTTGATCTAGTCTCTCTTTCATGTTTATCGTTTCATTTCTTCTGCTTTGCTTGATTTACTTTATGAGTAGTGAGTAGTTTACTTTGGGTTCGGGGTTGAGAGGATTGAAGGGTAGAAAAGGTTCGATCTTGGTTTGTTTTCTAAACGTTTTTAAGGCTATCTCTTCTAAGGTGTTGAAAGCTTAATGCTTGAAGACTCTCACGCCAAGAGCTTCATGATCCGAGAGGTCCCTTACCTTGACAGGATCCAGGGGCCTCGGAAGATCACACCTTAGAGACTAGTTACCCCTTCCCAAAAGCCATGGAAGTTTGGGGGACTAGTTAAGCCATTACTCGAAATCTGTTTTCCTTGCCTTTCAACCTCTTTTTCCACCAAAAGCCATGGGTTTGGAGGAGAGGATGAAAGAGTGATCTATACCGAAAGCCACGGATAGATCTTGTTTTGTTTTCGAGGCTTAGAGATCCTCACCAAGTGAGTCGATCTAAAGTTTCAAACCCAAGATCGATCCTTGAAACCCTTTATATGAATCTCAACCCTAAAGCCCTTTCTCTTAAGCATATTTACGTCTCATTTCATCTTTAGCTAGTTACCTGACAGCATCCTGGTCTTTAGATTCATTGTTCTTACAGTTTTAGACGAGATCGATCGTTTCTGCTCGATCTAGTGGTCGATCTTGTGGTCGATCCACTAGTCGAATTTTAACAATTCGAAGCTCTTCCCTTTAATTTGTCTGTTTGTTTCTCGTGGTAACTGCTTCCTTTCTAGTATTTTTAAAATAGGTTTCACTCTGTTTAGGTTGCTGCATTTAGTTTTTAGAATATTTCTCATAAACTGTCTCATTTGCCTAGATTTGTCTTAGACCTTGCATTCTCTGTGGATTCTCTATCATCTAGAAGTGGATTGACACTCTCCTGCTTGCTTTATTACAACATTGCGTGCACTAGAGTTTTAATAGCTTCTCTGCTGCATTAGAGCATAAGAAATCAGTTTATCATATATGTGTTGTTTGACTTGTGTTTTCTGATCTTATTTTCCCTTCAGCATCTTTGAGTCTTCATTACATGAAAAATTGGTAAAATTTTTAAAAAAATTTCAAAGATTCATGTAGTTGCATTCATCTTTTTAAACATTTTAGGATTGAGTCTAGAATTTTAAAGCATCTAGGTTGCTTGCATTTGCATAAGGGGTTAAAGTTTTCTTAAAAAGGTGTTTTATACTCATGAATTGTTTCGATACCCTAGTTAGTAGTTCTCTAATGCTTTGCTTATACTTTGAAAGTAAGTTCTTACCATGCTTGGATCACTTGCTATGATTTTCGTGACTTGAATTGAACTCTCATGATTTGAAACTTGTCCTAATAAGTGAAAACCTTAATCTGAAATTTCAATTATCATCCTTATGCATTTGAAAATGAACACATGGATTTTAAAATATTTAGGCTCTCTTTTTCCTTCTACCACTCTTTGTGAGCCTAAGTAGAACTCCCACCTTGACCCTTACCTTTCTTTGAAGCCAAGTTTTTGTGTGTGACATCATTGTGAGGCCTTTTCCCGGTTTGAACTTAGCATAAAGTGTTAGGTTTAGGCGACATGATTAGGTTCTCATATGTTTGCTAGTTTTGCATTTTGAAGCTAGACTTAGGCTTAGAATAAGTTTGGGGGTTTAAGGGGTTGTTTTCATGTTTATATGCTCTCGGTTTCAAAAGAGTTTGGTATTTGAAAGAAAGAAAAAGGTTTTTAGTGAAAGGTTTATGTTTAAAAAATTTTATGCTCTAATAATTTCAGAAGGTAGCTCTCTCAAAATAAAAATAAAAAGAAAAAGAAAAGAGCCTAAGTGCCAAAATAGAAGAAAAAGAAAAAAAAAATAAATACAAATAAACAGAGAGCTACCAATAATAAATATGTAAAGAGCAAATTATTTTCAACCTTTTCACTAGCCTAAAAGAGTAAAAAAAATGTTTTATGTTTTGAATTGGGGAATGCTAAGCTTTTGCTTTGAGAAAAGGGTAGATTCTAAGTGGTGAGTGAGGATAAAAGTTAATAAATGAGAGGGGTTTAGGATCATTGTTAGTTTGTATGGGTAGATGGGAATCTGATCATGTATGCATCAATTGCCTTCACCTTTAGCATTATGCATAAAGTTCTTGCCATTTTTGAGAAAAACCCTTGTTTAAAATGAAAACCCTTTTCAAATGAGATCATTCTATGCTTATAGCCTGCGCCCTTAGCCAAATGTGGTCTGCTTTAAAGTGCATAAGTTTGATTCATGGTTCAGATGTTAATGAATGTTAAAGGATGAGTTTCTTTAATTGTTAGGAATAGGAGAGTCATGATTTGAATTTCTTTGTGTGATGAGTATGGCTAAGTTATTTGGAGTATGAGTGTGTGCAAAGCATTTTAGAACTGTTAACTAGGACATTGAGATTGATTCATTTGAAAGGCACCTTTGCAAGAAGCTTAAACCCCCGTTCGTTTTTAAAACCTCTCTTCCTTTCTTATTTTCTGTTGCTTGAGGGCAAGCAAGAAGTAAGTTTGGGGGAGTTGATGTTACTGCATATTGCATGTGTTTTGCATACATATTAGTTAGCTTTTCATGCATTTACATCACACTTTAGGCTAGATTGCATCACTTAGGGTCCTAAAGCATTCTCGCACCAGCATACGCATGTTCCTTGCATTTTGCATCATATTCAGGTTGTTTTCGGGTACTTTGGAGACGTGGAGTTCGTGAACGTGCTGAGGCTAGTATGGAGGTTCGTGTGAACAACGGATGTTTGCTAAGGACCAGAGATCGGGGAGCAGATCGAGCACAGCGGTCGATCTAGACGAGATCGACCAGAAGATCGAGTAGCTCAGGCGATCCAAGGGAATTGATCGAGAAGAAGATCGAGTGAAGCAATCGATCAAATGGTACGGACGTAAATGACGCCATGCAGAGCGAGAGCTGGATCGAGTCCACCACTCGATCCAGCCGAAGATCGATACCAAGATCGGATACAACACTCGATCCACCGAAGAAGATCTAGACCCAGATCGAGTAGAAGACATGATGTCCGAAAGTGATCGAGAGAGCCGCTCGATCCCGAAGTCTATCTCTGTCCTTTCAACCGATTTTGGCCGCTAGCGAAGGGGGAACCATCGAGCGTTTTTGGCCCATTTGAGAAGGCGGCGATGATTTTTTACGAGGACACTTTTCATTCTTATCCTTTTATGCTTTTTCTCTCTGGTTTGGAGACGATCCGCCATTGTTAGACTTTGAGCTTTGTTCTTGAATATTTCGAATCGTTTAAGTTTTAAGTAATCGTTTTCATGTTCATCGCTTCATCTTTCATGTTTATTTCGGTTATTCTCATGTGTAGCGAGTAGTTTCATTTGGATCTCGGGGTTGAGAGGATTCACGGGGTCTAAGGGGTTTTCAAGTTGGTAGTTTTCTTGTTCTTAATGGCTTTCTCTTCTAGGATGTTGAGTTCCTAAGGCTTAAAGACTCTCACGCCAAGATATTTATGATCAGAGAGTTCTGTTACCTTGACAGGATCCAGAGATCTCTGAAAATCACATCCTAGAGACTAGTTACCATTTCCCAAAAGCCATGGAAGTTTAGGGGACTACTTAGGCCGTGTGTTTGAAATCTGAGTTCATTGCCCTTCAACCTTTCTTTCCACCAGAAGCCATGGGTTTGGAGGAGAGGATGAAAGAGTGATCCATACCGAAAGCCACGGATGGATCTTGTTTTCGTTTTCAAGGCTTAGGGAATCTCACAAAGTGAGTCGATTAAAAGTTTTCAATACCAACTTGGACCCTTGAAGCCCCGGACCATGAATCTCAACCCTAGACCCTTCTTTCCTAGCATTCTTACACCTTCGTCAATCATTCGCTTGATATTCGTAGCATCCTGGTCATCAGTTTCATTGTACTTGTATTTTTAGACGAGATCGATCGTTGTTGCTCGATCTAGTAGTCGATCATGTGGTCGATCTACTAGTCGATTTTTAGTAATTCGCAGCTTTGCATTTTAATTATTCTGTTTGTTCCTCATGGTAATTTAATCATTCCTGGTAATTTTAAAATAGTTTTGCATTCTATTTGGCTGCTGCAAATAGTTTTTAGGATTTTTACAAAATCGCCTGTCATTTGCTTAGCCTTGCATTGCCCTTGCATTCTCTGTGACTTTTTTAGCTTCTAGGAATGGATTGACACTCTTTTGCACACTATACTATAACCTGGTTTGCATTTGAGTTTTGATAGCCTCATTGCATCCTCACCCTTGCAAAAGAAAGTAGTTATCATTGCACTACAAAGCATAAAAAGTCTTGTGTCATACTCACCCCTGCACGCGGACAAAGCAAGCCCACACAGATCACCTACCAACCCAAAGCGGCCACGACCTCGCAAGAACAAAGAAGAGAATGAAGACCACTGAAGTTTTGAGACCAATTAATGCTATTTAAACTGGTAATTTGGGTATTGTTATTTACAATGTCTTACGTTGCACCTAACTAATTGTATACCGATTTGTTTAGTATGTGACAAACTAGACCTCATGTTACACTTTTTTTCTTTCATAATCTCATTTGTTAGTTGCTATTTCATATTCCCAGTAGTTAATTCCCCTAATGGTCTTCTACAATTCAAATCACAATAACATGAAATAAAAATTCAAAAAGTTGCAAAAGGTACACGTATGTCAAGTTTCTGATGTTTTAAAATCATGTCCTCAATCACGTTACATATGTTGTAGTTTCATAATCTCATTTGTTAGTTAGTGCTGGTTCAATATCATCTTCCCAGAAATCCATTCCCCTAATTGCCTCTACAATCCATCACAATAACAACATAAAATAAAAATCCAAAAGTTGCAAAACCGTACTACGGTGAGTGATATATACATCGTGAGGACAAGACCCAAATAGGTAAGACAGTGAGAGAATGGAAAAACTGCTTTCTTAGATGAGACTCGAGAAGCTAGAAAGAAAAGAATAATACTCTGAGTGCTCGGTAAAACAAGAACATATGACCATTGGAGGTATTTCCATGGAATTGGGAAAATATATAAATAACACAAAACATTCTTTTTATAACCAAGGAACCTAGGTCGAAGCGTAGACTAATCTCCGAGGATCCTTAAATGGGAGGATTTGATCTCTGCCTTATTCGACCACCACCTTTGGTTTAAATAACACGAAACAATACAAATTATAACAGAACAAATTGTACCTGAAGACTATGTTTCTAACCATCTCTGACTAAGCTTTTGCGTGGCCATGTTCAACATCTTTCGACTGTGTAGTTTCTACACCTTCCTTCAGAAGCTCAAACTCTTCTTCTGTTAAGCTGTGTTTCACACTGTTCAAAGCCTTCGCTGCAAGATTAGACTGTTTCTCCAATTCCATGGCCCAACTATAGATTACCATCCCAACAATCGCAACAATCATTCCCGCCACGTTTTTAAATGTCATTGCAGAATCAAATAGGACCCATCCCAGCGTGAGGATGCACACGGTTTTCATGTGACCTATAACCTGGAATGATACTGCCGAAAAACGCCCGATGCAAAGGTACTGGCTTATGTTGCAGAACACAGCTAAAGCACATGAGAGAAGGATGAATAGCTGCAAATGGTAGAAATAATTAGACCAAATGATAACATAACAAAAATGAAGTATATAAAATAGCAAAGCATGGAGAAATATTTGCTTACAAAGCAACCAGAAGACATATTGTAGTTCATAATGAACTTCCCACTGAGGAGATAATCAACAAAAGGACCAACAACGAGAAGCGAAAGTGCTTGAATCGGTGCTGTTTTACTCAACAACTCAAAAGACCCAATTGAATATTTCTTCTGCAGTGAACCTATTAACTGGCACAAGACCCAATAGATCAGATTCTGAGCTTTATGAACAAGATCAAAGTACCAAAAGGAACTTACAATTTGCTGCAAAGATGAGGAGAAAATTGCAACACAGGCGCAAACGAAACCTTTAGCATTCACTTTGACATCAGTGACAGTGCAAATACCAACACCTACAACAACAACAACAACAGATACTTTCACTTCTTTGGAGTATCTTTTGCTGTGGAGAATCCATTCCATGACACAGACCACAGGAATCATGCTCAGCTTCGAGATCTATGAAACACAGAGACGATCTCTTTCAGGGGAAAACAGAAACAAGAGATAACAATTTGAATTTTTTTTTCAAAGGATCGGGGTAAAACCTGGTAGAAGCCGACGGAATTGAGCATGAGACTGAAATTCATTGCAGCTATAGACACATTAGCGACAATGGAGAACCAAATTAGCTCCCACATAGGGACATGTTTGGATGCGGAGAATCCCGTCGCGTTCGAGACCAAACCGACCAATGCGGTCAAAGCGAAATGAAATCCGGTGAGAGTCGTTGCTGGAAATAATTGGAACAATCGAATCATCAGATCTCAAAAGGAAGAAGATGAAGAAGCGAATGATAAACAAGAGAGATCCGAGGAGGAAGAAGACGAACCGAAACTAAACGCGAAACCAGAGGAAGACATTAGCTGCTTATTCGCCATGATGATTCCAACGGAGCTGATCACATTCATTGCCCAAGCTCCCATATCGGAGACCGCAGAAGATTTTCGCTCGTTCTCCGCCGCCATATCTGGTCAAACTGATCCAGATCCCGATGACTGATCACGACTTGAGCCGTCGTCGGTTAAATCAAATACGATTTTTAGATCCTCTGGGAAAGATGAACTCGGCGTTGATTCACGCTTTATAGGACGCTCACCTTCTTCTCTCCTTCTTTCTTCTTTTTTATTTGTTCAACTCTCCTTCTTTCTTCTTTCTACGATTCTTTCACGTCCCAGAAAATATCTGAATCCCTCGGAAAACAATTTAAAAGGAAATTATCAAGTGGATTTAATATTTACCGGGATAAAAAAGAGAGATTTACGGTAGAAGGTACTTCTGAGTTTCATTTTACAGTAGAAGGCACTTTTAGCTACCGAGGGACTTTAGCTAGGTTTGCAAATTAAAAAAGTCCTTATTACCCTTAATAAAGGTGAAACAAAATTTTGACGGTGAACGACGGCTTTTCCTGGTTGAGAAAACGAAAAATACATTGAGGACGGGGATGAGCGATTCCGTTTGCTTTGGGGCTTGGTCAATGGATTTCGCTACTGTTTCCATGTTATTTGGAGATCGTGATTGTTGAGGGGCGTTGAATTGTGATGTTAGAAACCAATTCGATGTGACTTAATTTTATAGAAGGTTTTTAGGGTTTGGACAGGAGAAATTTTGAAACACCACCGTGTATCTACTTCGTGGAAATGTGTATATATATTGTTGTTTTTTTTTTTTTTTTTTTTGCAGTTAAATTGGAGGAGACATTGATGATGAACATAATACGATGGACAACAATGGATGTACAAATTTACAAATTGTATGATATTTCCTATTTTGAACAAAATCAAAGCTGCTATTGATTGTTTGTGAGTTGTCTACAAATGAATCTATTCACAGGAATGGATGTAAAAATTAGAGTGGATGTTTGTTTCATGGAACATACATCAATATGCTATGGATAATCGGAGTCTTATCTTATGGATGAATTTTGGTGGATGATAAGGCGAAGTACACGATTTATGTGAGCGGGATTTAATTGGAGCATTTGTGTGTGTTATGGTAGTGTTTTCATTCCATGGTGGCTAGTGATAGCTTCACAAATATGTTCTGCTAAGAGATCAGAGCTCCCCGCGGGATGGAGAGTTAGAGGCGTTTGGAGGAATTGGAGTTGAGGATTGGATTGATGAGGATGACCTTCTCGACAATGACAGCACAAAGCACCCTGAGCTAACACTGGATGAGATTTTCGCCGATGACCTAATGGTAGACGCCATGGGAACCGTGTTTAAGGATGCAGTTCCAATGGAAGAAGACGATGCAAATCCTGAACCGGTGGATGAAAGGGTTTCGGAAGGGGATTTCCTGTCTTCTCCAAAGAAGAGTTTCATGGCGGAAATAGCCGTGCTGGCACAGAAAAAAGTCTCTCCGGGTAGAAACATGATCGGCTTCTCGTCGAAGAAGAGACTGCTGGTGAGAGGCTCGCCAAAGGTGCAAGTTAGGTCAAATGGGCCTGGGCCAAAAAAGGAAGATGGGCCGCAGAAGAAAGGTGCTGGCTTGAAGAAAAAAAGCTCTGGGCCACAGAAAAATGAGAATGGGCCTCAGAAAATAAAGGGCGCAGCCCAAAACGCAAACAAAGTTCCCCACACCTCACGCTCTGCAGCCAACCACGAGGCCATATCCAAATCCGCAAGATGAACATCCTAGCCTGGAACTGTCAAGGCGCCGGTGCCGACTTGACAAAGAAGCATCTTGAAGAACTGCACCGTGTTTACAAACCTAGTTTTTTATTTTTATCAGAGACAAAGAACAATCGGCTTTTTCTGCAAAATTTGCAAGTTTTTTTCGGTTATGACCATGTTTTTACTGTGGAGCCGAGAAGCAGAAGCGGTGGTCTAGCCCTTTTTTATATGGATGAACCTCATGTGGTCATCTCCTATTCGGATAGTCGAATGATCGACATTGTATCTTCTTTTGAAGGATATAAAATATGTATGACTTTTATTTATGGTGATCCGGTTGTTGAGTACCATGAGGGGGGTTTGGGAATGACTTATTAGAATGGGACAATCTCGACATGATGCTTGGCTTATGCTTATGATAGGAGATTTTAACGAAATCACGGGAAACCACAAGGGGGGGGGGGGGGGGGGGGGGGGGGGGGGGGGGGGGAAGGAGAGATGAAGCCTCTTTTATCCCTTTCCGAACAATGCTCGATAATTGCGGGATGCTTGATTTCCCGTACAGAGGGAACCCCCTCTCTTGGGTCGGATGGCGGAGCTCTGGAAAAGTCAAATGCCGCCTAGACAGAGCAGTTGGTAACGAAGAATGGCTTCACCTTTTTTCCCACACAAATGTGGAGTATTTGAAACTATGGGGATCAGACCATAGACCTGTTTTGGCACGAATTCAATCGGACGTTCGTCATATGAAAAAAAGCTTTAAGTTCGACAACCGTTGGGTGGGGAAACCTGGTTTTAAGGAGGCGATAACTACGGGATGGGGACTCCCTGATGACTATCCCCGACGGAATGTACATCAGAGATTATCCTCATGTCGCAGAACCATCTCTCGCTGGAAACAAACGCTACCATCAAATACAGCGAAGCTTATCGAAGAATTGAAAGACCAGCTAGATCGGGCACAAAAGAGCAGAAGAACAGTTCTGGAGACAAAAGAGCAGAGCTACATGGCACACTAAGGGAGATAAGAACTCAAAATTTCATCATGCCATCACCAAGCAAAGAAGAGCTCGCAACCGTATTATATCTCTAAAGGATAAAAATGGAGTCTGGGTGGAGAGTGCAAAAGAGATAGAGAAAATCGCAACCCATTACTTCCAAGACCTCTTCACCTCCTCCTCCCCGACGGACCCGGGGGATGCACTCCGGTTTATTACCGAGAAAGTCTCTGACACTACCAACTCCTGCCTTTTGGCAGATCCTTCGAATGAAGAGATAAGAGCGGCACTCTTTGATATAAACCCCGACAAGGCTCCAGGCCCAGACGGCATGACGAGTCATTTTTTTCAAAAGTTTTGGTCAACTACGAGACACGAAATAATAAAGCTAGTCAAGGACTTCTTTGCAACGGGAAGGTTCGACCCAAGGCTCAACCAGACTAACATTTGCCTAATCCCCAAAAAGGATAAACCAAGAACAATGGCAGAATTTCGTCCAATAAGCCTTTGCAATGTGACTTATAAGATCATCTCCAAACTCCTATGCAAACGACTAAAAAAAGCTATCCCGAATCTGATTTCGGAGACCCAATCAGCCTTTATGGCTAGACGTCTAATCACAGACAATATAATGCTGGCACAAGAAAACTTTCACGCCCTCCGCACGAACCCCATGTGTAACTCGAAGTATATGGCCATAAAAACAGATATGAGCAAAGCATACGATAGGGTGGAATGGAGCTTCCTGGAGGCTTTACTCCTTAAGTTGGGATTTGCAGAGAGATGGGTGAAGCTTTTGATGTTCTGCATCTCGTCTGTCTCTTACAAAGTCCTCCTCAATGGAGAGGCTAAAGGGAGGATCACACCTACGCGCGGCCTGCGCCAAGGAGACCCTTTATCACCTTTCATGTTCATCATCTGCACGGAAGCTCTCGTCTCTCTTCTAAAGGGAGCAGAAGAAGAAAAGCGCATCACAGGCCTGAGGATAGCAAGAGCCAGCCCCACAATATCTCATCTCCTCTTTGCCGACGATACTCTCTTTTTTTGTAGAGCAAATGTCCCGCAATGTGCGGAGATTTTCGAGATCATCAAAACCTATGGAGACGCCTCGGGCCAGCTACTCAACTCATCAAAATCATCGGTCCTTTTTGGTAAAAAAGTTAACAGTTTGGTTAAACAAGAGATCAAATCAGCCATAGGAATAAGCAACGAAGGAGGAATGGGTATGTATTTGGGCCTCCCAGAGAAGATCTACGGATCAAAAAAGAAAGTCTTTGCATATGTTCAAGATCGTCTAAGCAATCGGACCAATTCGTGGTCGTCAAAGCTCTTATCGAAGGGGGGTAAAGAGATTCAGATCAAATCAGTTGCACAAGCAATTCCGACCTATGTTATGTCGTGTTACCTTCTCCCACAATCCCTAATAACCAAACTCACCAGTGCAATCTCGAATTTTTGGTGGAGCTCCAAACAAGACAGTAAAGGCCTCCACTGGATAGCTTGGGAGAAGCTATGTTCCCCAAAAGAGTTGGATGGTCTGGGCTTCCGCGACCTGCGAGACTTCAATCTAGCCCTCTTAGCTAAACAACTATGGTGCCTATTTCAATTCCCTTCCTCCCTCCTGGCTAGAGTTCTGAGAGGACGGTACTACCGACAAACAATTTTTTTAGGAGATCATAAACCTTATTCCCCATCGCTTGGGTGGCAGAGCCTTATGGCGGCTAAGCCTCTCTTACGGAGCGGACTACGCAAGACGATAGGATCAGGTTTCAATACGGAAGTGTGGAGTGAGCCTTGGATCCCAGCCATCCCAGCTAGGCCACCAAGAGCAGCCAACCCGGACATAGTTAGGGAAAATGATCTTTTGGTTCATAGTCTAATCACACAGTACACTAAAGAATGGGATGAGAGGCTCCTTAGGACTTTGATTCACTCGGAGGACATTCCCCTGATTCTAGGGATGCGCCCAAGTCGTAGTTTTACCCTCGATGGATATGCATGGAGCCACACAAAGTCAGGAGTGTATACAGTAAAAACAGGCTATCTTCAAGCAAGACTGCTTAAAGAGAAGAACATGACACAAGTAGTGTGCGAACCAAGCATCACACCTCTCCTTAAGAATGTCTGGAAGGTCCATACATCAAGCAAACTACAACACTTTATGTGGCAAGCACTAGCGGGTTGTATTGCCACGTGTGAACGCCTAAAATTCCGTCATATGGACGTGGAAGCTCGATGCCCAAGATGTGGAGCACAAGAAGAAACAATAAACCATCTTCTTTTTGAGTGCCCCCTCGCCCTTCAAGTGTGGGCGCTTACAGGCTCCTCACCTATTCCGGGTTACTTCCCGAGTACATCTTTATACCAAAATATGGACTTCCTATTTTGGAGAGTAAAGGAAAGGGTACCCCCCGGACCTCAGAAGGACGTTTATCCTTGGATCTTGTGGTATATTTGGAAAGCACGAAATAAAAAAGTTTTTAACAACAAAACAGTGCCCTCGGCGGAAACCTTCCAACTAGCACGCCTGGAGGCGGAGAGTTGGAAAATGGCAAAGCAAAAGGAGAAAGAAGAGAAAGAAGGGGGAGAGAAAGAAGAAGTAAACGAGGAGAACCCCTCGTGGCCAGGCTTATTGAGTATCAACCCCTTGCTCCCCCACGTCCCAACCTGCCAGATTGACGCGTCCTGGATTGAGCAAGGGACAACTAGTGGCTTGGGGTGGTGCCTTGAAGAGGAAGGGGGTCGTCGTACGTATGGCATGAAGGGATGCCAGAGGAGCTTGTCACC